GCTATTACATTCGTCATTTTGGAATTTGTTGTAAGTTTGACATAATTCATTTATAATTAATTGATATTTTATATGCATCAAAATATTTACTGACATAATTTTATATTTGTTATTGCCAGAATATTTTAGAATGTTTGCATTTGTTCTATTTTTCATCATTTACTTTGTTTATTTTATGAGTGTTATGCAAGTTTTTTTTTTCTTTAACCTTTCATCCATATTTTTCTTTATTATTATAAATTTAATTAATCAATTGTTTTAGTAATTGGTAGAAAGCTGAAGACAATCATTAAAGATTATTATAATGATTGATAATTTTTATGATAGTTACAATAGCAAAATTGATGCAAAACAAATAACAATGAGCAAGAATAAACAAAATTGATAGGATGAAAACGAGAATGTTTGATTAAGTAACAATTTAATTAACAAAGAAAAATTCTAATCAGTAAATATGAAAAGTCATTTTTTTTTAATCCTTTTCTTTCTTTTTCCCCTCGCTCTCTCTCTCTCTTTCTCTCTCTCCATTGGTCATTCAAGAATTATGAAGATGCGCAGAAAAGTCTGTTTGATCTTGTTCAAAATCATTATTAACGCATCGCACCGATTGCATAACAACTTGTCTTCCTCATATGGCATCATTAATCTGACAAGTGGCTATTTTATTGTCAACAAAATTGTCGAAAGCGTTTAAAGGCATTAAAGATTTCCGAAATATTTTCTATTCCAACAAATGATAACTCATTAATTTATTGTGTTAATTAAGTAATTGGTCAGCGGTAATCCAAATGAAAGAAAGATGAAAAAATAAAAAGAAGCAAACTGGATGAAATTCGGTTTTGAAAAAAAAAAAGAAAAAAAGCGAATTTTATTACAAAAAAAAAGAAAAGGAAGACCAAAAATGCTTTTCTTCTTTCTCTGTTCGATATTTATTTATTTATCAATTAAGAGGTTTTAGTGGAGAGGAAATTAAATTTTAGCGAAGAAAAGGTGAGAAATTGAATTGTTCGTATTTTGTTAGGCGAAGAACTTGTTACTACGTCATTTTTACTCCATGGTTTAAAGTTGTTGTTCAATTTTTGAAATAAGAATTTTGATCAGGATGAAATAAAAGTCTTTGTTTTATAAATTGATTAGATTATTGAATAATCAAAAAACTTACCAGAGCACTGAAATAAATTATTAAAATTAATAAAAAATGAATTATTGAATGTCTAATAAATAAATTAATCAAAAATTGTAGAGTGAAAAATATTCGTAAAATTAATTGAAATAGTTCTCTTGAAATATATCAAATAATTAGCACTCAATAAAATATGCATTATTTTTAATCAGTTAATGAATAAATTCTTGACATTAAAAAAAATCCATTAAAATTTTCTCATCAACCATTAATACTACAAATGTAGCTTAGAAATTATTTTTCTAAGCTATATTTTAATAAAATTGGCACTATTTGATATCAACTTAGCGATGGCATCCTCACTGATAAGGACGAACAATGATAAGATAAAGAAGGGATGATAAATTTAATTGTCAACATATCAGAAATGGACGATTACTCTCACGTCTTACGTATAACATACAGCGCACTTATTTATACGTATATTCTCACATACGTTCAACTCATATATGCATAGGAATTATTTCAAATATACAACAAATTTCGAATTAATTTTTTGATAGTATTCAATAAAAAATTGCAAAATTATTTCATTAGTTTATTTATCAAAATCTTCTTTTTCAACAAAAATTAAAAAAGAATTAATGAGAGAATTATGTAGTTATTTCAGTGATCGATTATATGTATGCAAATTAATCAAAATACTGTCGTCTATGTTTTTTGAAAAATTTTAAAAAATAAAAACTTTTTTTTTTCATTCTTATTAACAAAACAGTATAAATGTAGGCTAATTCAGCTATGAACAGATAAGTATTTTTATTTTCACAGTTCTTTTCATCTGTTATTGATTTGTAATGTTTAATTTTGTTTTCTTTTGAATATAATGACCATGAATATAAATATACAAGCATATTTAGTGACGACACACGAAAAAGAAAGAAAAGGAGATGAAAACCTTTTTTTTGGGGTCGACAACGTCGTCGCTTTTTTTTTCAAATCAAATCAAAATTTGGTTGAGTACAAGCATAGGAATGGAAGGAAAGAAGGAAAAAGGTGAACGGCGAAGAGGAAAAGGAGGAGGAAGAGGTGGAGGAGGAAGAGGTAGAGGAGGAAGAGGTGGAGGAGGAAGAGGTGGAGGAGGAAGAGGTGGAGGAGGAAGAGGTGGAGGAGGAAGAGGTGGAGGAGGAAGAGGTGGAGGAGGAAGAGGTGGAGGAGGAAGAGGTGGAGGAGGAAGAGGTGGAGGAGGAAGAGGTGGAGGAGGAAGAGGTGGAGGAAGAAGTCGAGGAGGATCTTTCTGACTTTTTTTAAAAAACTTTTTTTATCAAAGGAAAAAATGCATTAACATTATAAATTGAATGAGGGAAGAAAGCGGAAGAAAAGAGGATCCACTGATAAAATTTGTTTTAAACTGAGATGGAGGGAAAGAGAGAGAGAGAGAGAAAGCAAAAATTTTTTTCTTGTTTAAAATTTAACCTAATTTATTAGATAGCTTTACGGGCTTAACAATTCCGGTCAATCGTTGACAAATCTAAAGTATGACAGCAGACGAGAGATAACGCCTGCGCTACACTTCAAAAAGTTCGATGATCCGGTTTGTAAAATGTGAAAAATATATGTTGAAATGATGCAATAGTTGATTTTGAAAAAGGTTGAAAGAATGAAAATCTTCGAGTTTGCATTCAGGTTAAATGGATGATTGCTCGATGTATTATTTTATGTGATGAATTTAAATAAACCTCAGCAAATATTAATTGTACCAATAGGCATTACTGACTGATTTTGAAAGTAGAAATTTACTGGATGAATTATTTGTAAACTAATTAGTTCAAATGATAATTTCAATGTGATTATATAATGAGTACGAGATTGGAGAAGTTCGAGGAAAGCTATATTTAAGCCAAAATGGTAATAGCAAAGATGGGTGATCATGGAGAAACTGATCGATCAGTTGATAATCTAACTAATCGATCAGCATCTGTATGATGACCCAGTCTGTCTTCAAATGTTATGGTATACAGTATAGCGGAATTGCTGTGATGTACGGTAGCACTGATAAAAGGTTATCATTTTGGATAAGCATTTGGATTTGCATATATGATAATCATATCATATCATATCACACATCCAAAGCATACATTCTTAATGATCATCATTTTTTCATTTCTTTATTCAATTCCATCTCATTGCTTTATTTTATATGAATTATTGTTCTAATTTTAAAATTAGGTATTTAGTTAAGGGGTTCAAGTGGGTATATGAATTGGGGAAGGAGTAGGGCAGATTGATTGGAAAGAGAAGTATGGACAAAATTTGATAATTCGGTAAAAGGAGGAGCACCTGTTGTCCCCTTACAAAAAGAAATTAGGTCATGGCCGATTGACCTATTTGTTCGCGCATCCTTATGGTGCCAATTACAGCAATATACTTTAACAATTATTTGGTAACCTTTCTCTGAGTGTTGGTACATTGTGTTTGTTTTGAAAAAAAATACAGAGAAAAAAAGTTAAACTGAAAATTTTAAATTAATTTAAAATCAATAAAATTTGTTAAAAATTACAAGGAAGAAAAAAGAGCCAAAATGAAGGCTATCATTTGTGGTAAAGGCATGATCTAATTTTTGTAATTTACGACTTCGACCTTTTCCCTACCAAGGGTTTCTGACCTGGCGTAACTAAAAATGATGCCATGTATTTCGATGGTACATTTTTGGTCGATTGCATACATTTCAAACTTATAGTGTTGATTGAAATCAAAATGATGTCATGAAAGATTGGAAGGATATTAAATTACAACACAGGTCATCATATCATATTCTCATCTTTTTAATCATTTAAATAGAAAGATAATTAAATTAGTACGATAGAACTGTAGGAAAGAATTATCAGGATATGAAATATCATTTTTGGATAACATTTATAAGTGATAAGGCAAGTTTTATCATAATAATGAATGATTTGCATATTTATAATTTTTAATTTTTTTTTTTGAAAGACAATTAAATTAATACGATAGAATTGCAGGAAAAGGTTATCAGAAAAATGTATCAAAATATTTCTTTAATTCTAAAAAAATTTTGAAAATAGAAATAATTTTAGCTGATTTGAGTAATTAATTATTGTTTGAAAAAAAAAGATAAATTATTGTTTAACGCAAATATATCAATTTAACTATTACTAATTTAAAAAAAAAAAAAGAGTTGTAGCAGGAAGAATAGGACGATAACAGATCGGAAAGTGAAAACAGATCAGAGCAGAAATTTATTTCTCAATTGATGATATTCTCTCCTCCGCTCCCATTCACCGCCCTATTTCAAAACCTCTTTTCTTTCTACTTTGTCTCTTCCTATCTGCTTCTATCAGATTTCATTCTCGATTTCTTATCTTTTTTTGTGACTGTAATCGTAAATTTAATAATATGAAGAGCTCAATTAGACTGAGAATTACCGGAGATATCATAGAAAGGTCGGTGACAAAAAAAGGAAAAAAAAAACAGTGCAGAAGCATTTCTGGAAAATTTATTTTCAAGAATTTAAAAACAGCATCACTTCATTTTGCATCAAAGATTCGATTACTTTTCAAATGTTGTAGTAGTTTTCTTGAAGTATATTAATTTCTTCGTTTTATCTTCCTCTCCTTTCCCCTTGTCAAATCAAACTCTCAGCTATTGCTGCTGGTTGAATGACACCGTTTTATACTCTGATCATTTCCAATCCCACCCCCATCATTCTCTACAACTTATACTACTCAAACAATGCTATTCTAACAACGAAAATTTGAAAAACGATTTCAAAAATGTTCAAAGCATTGACATGCTCTCGATAGTAATAGCAATAATAATGATTAATTAATTAATTAATTAGTAGCAGTAGCAGTAGCAGTAACAGTAGCAGTAGCAGTAGCAGTAGCAGTA